TGTTTTGCTCTTCATTTACGGGTTATAACTTAATTTTACATTAAGATTGTTTTAAAATTATCGTGAACTCAGTTTCACAGAAGATGATTGGCTTATAGGTCATAAGGAAAATCAGTGCCAGAATGGAAAACTGAATTCTTGAGTCTTAGTGTTCAACATTTCCACTGCTGTCAGAAACAAGTGCTGAGTTTTCTTTGTTCTTCCAATGGCAAAATAAGGAATGTATGATAGGCTTGAAAATTGGCAATCATAAAGTGCTTTTTATGGTTTCCCAAATTCCCTTCATAGTATTATTTCTTTTATTATGAATTTAGTTGTGTAAATCAGCCTGTTGCTGATAAACAAAAATTTATATTAGTCCTGGGACCAACATTTCTTTCAGTATGACATTAGTTGTGTAAATCAGCCTGTTGCCAATAAACACAAATTTATATTAATTCTAGGATCAACATTTTGAGAAGAAATAAAGTAGGGATCATCTGAGAGTTTTTAAAAGAATGTTGGTCTAAAATAGCTGGTAGAATAAAAATATATTGTACAAACTAAAATAGGGCAAAAGAGCTAAAATGCAGTGCATGGACTAAAATAACTAGCAGTTCAAATGAGTCCAAGTGCTAAATATGCAATTATCTTTCCTATTACCGTATATGTACAAGAGTTATTTTAACTTTTAAAATCCTACATTTCACTTTTGTTGTTGTTTATATGTGTCTGTATATGTAAAAAAGCCAGTCATATATATATACACACACCTCTGAGTTTAAAAGTTTTAAAATTCCATTTTAATTTACAGGTTACAGGTTGACATTTTTAGGTAGTGTAATGGCTATTTATTTATTGGTAGGTGGTTTGCTTTATAAACTGAAAATTAAGAAAAAGTTGAGTTTGGTTTATCATCATCCCTCCAACTCCCTTCCCCAAACTCTTTGAATCCCATGGTATTTTTTAAAAGCTTGACTCAACATCCCCAGGAATGACTTCACAGTTGTTCCACATAGATGTAGTAGCCATTTTCTCATGCACTAATTTTATGAATGATAGTTGCACGTCCTCCAGGGGTTTAGAAATTGCTCATACCATGGAAGAGAGAGTTTCTGGGTGACTTTGATGTGTGTTAATGCTTATTTGCTCCTGTAACCCTGACCTTCTTGCCATCCCCTGAACACAGAGACACACTCCTGCATCAACCCTTTTTATACTTGTTCTCTTTGCCTGGGGTGTTTTTCCTTCAGTTCCACATGGTTTGTTTCTTACCCTCTTTCCATCTTTGCTCAATTGTTACCTTGTCAAATTATTCTGTAAAGGAGCTAAATCCTGACCATTTGATAGTTTTGAGCAAATGAGGATTAGAATCCAAGTGATGTGTTGAAAGAATCACTCTGCCTGTTGTCATGAGAATGAACTGCAGGCGAACAAGGGCTGACACAGTTAGGGGCAATTGCAGTTGTCCAGGCTTAGAGATAAAGGTGGTTCAGATCAGGTGGTTATAGAGGTGGTGAAAAGTGGTTGGACTCAGGATATATTTTGAAGGGAGAGTCCAAAAGTCAATATTTTGAAGGGAGACTCATATATTTTGAAGGGAGAGTTAACAAGATTTGCCACCACTTTGAATGCGAGGTGAGAGGGAAAGATAGGAGTCAAAAATGATTCTAGGTTTTTGGCCTGAGTAACTGAAAGAATGGAATTGCCATTTACTGAAATGAGGAATAAATACCAAGAGAAGAGCACACAATCAGGAATTGAGTTTTGTTTATAGGAGTTGGATAAATGAAATTTGAATTTAAAAAAGGTCTGGGATGGAGATACACAAGTTGGGAATGATGAGCATATACTTTATTTAAAGTCATGAGCCTGGATGAGATCATCTGGGCATGTAAATAAAGAAAGGCGGTCTTAGAGTTAAGCCCAGGTATACCCCAATCTCCAATATTCAAGGGTTGAGGAGACCAGAGGGAGGGCCAGTGAAGTAGAGAAACTGGGATTCTGGAAACCAAGTAAAGAATGTTCCAGGAAAGGAGTGATCAGCTGTGTCAAAATGCTGCTGATAGAACACTAAGATGAAGACTGAGAAATGATCATTGAATTTGGCAATGGAGAGGTCATTGGTGACCTTGAGGAACTGTTTTGGTGGAGTGGTGGTGGGGAAAGGCTGACTGATGAGGACTTAAGAGAAAATAATAAAAGAGGAAATGTAGACCTCAAATATAGGTTAATTTTTTACAGGGGATTATTTTTTAAAGTAAAACAGAGAAATGAAATGGGAGCTGAAGAAGGATATGAAGTGAATGGAGACATTTAAAAAATGATGTTTACATGCTGATGAAAGTGATTGAGTAAAGAAGGGAAAATTAATTATATAGGAGAAAGAGAATGTGGACAGTTGTTGGGAGCATGATTTTTTTTTTTTTTTTTCTTTTTTTAGACAGAGTCTTGCTCTGTCTCTCAGGCTGGAGTGCAGTGGTGCAATCTCGGCTTACTGCAACCTCCGCCTCCCCTGGGTTCAAGTGATTCTTCTGCCTTAGCCTCCCCAGTAGCTGTGATTGCAGGCACATGTCACCGTGCCTGGCTAATTTTTGTATTTTTAGTAGAGACAGGGTTTACCATATTGGTCAGGCTGGTCTTGAACTCCTGACCTTGTGATCCACCTACCTTGGCCTCGCAAAGTGCTGGTATTACAGGCGTGAGCCACTGTGCCTGGCCTGGAGCATGTATTCTTTCATGAGTGGTCCTTCTTCTGTAGCACTGTACACAGCACTAAGGGAAGACTTTTCTGTCTTTCCTTCTACACCCTCAAACTCTCATTGGGCTAGGCGTCCGTCTTAGAAGCTCCCATTTAACTCTGTGCTGTTATTGTTGCCTCTACACTTACCCCTTTCGAAGTATGACCCCTTGTACTTAAAAACAGACATTTTTAGGTTTAGCTGTGTCTTGTTCCAAAGAACCACACTTACCAGAGTATGTTAGTTTTAGAGTCATCTAGGAGCTTAACATAATACCAAAACCACACCTTTTGGTAATCTTGGACTATAACAGAAGGCAAGAATTATAATAGGATCTCACAAACCTTCTCCCACCCACCATGATGAGCTATTTGTAGATCCTTAGTGGCTCTTAAGTATTCTCCCAAGTGCTGAGTTGTGAGTAGCCTGCACATAATGGCATTCAATAATGAGAATAGCTACTCAGCTCTGAGCATCCATCCTGTTTCTCACCATTGGCATTCCTGGTGGCACAGTGGCTTCTGTCACTCTCTCTGGCTTGCCTCAGCTTTGATTCTGTCCATTCAATTCTCATTCCCACCTTGTCTGTCACAGGTTTAGGCTTATGGTAGTGAAGAAATGCTCTGTCCTTAGCCAGAGGTTGGTGTAAGTTAAAAGATGTTGTGAGCGGTAAAACAAACAACATTTAGGCAGATATTAGTTATTATTATTATCTTCAGAGCTCAAGGTTTATATTTCTGTCTGTATTTTCAAGGTTTTAGATCAGAGTTTTAAAATTAGGGCCATAACCTTTTTCGTTTTTTGAGATAGAGTTTCGCTCTTGTTGCCCAGGCTGGAGTGCAGTGGTGCAATATCGGCTCACTGCAAACTCTGCCTCCCAGGTTCAAGTGATTCTCTTGCCTCAGCCTCTCGAGTAGCTGGGACTATAGGCACATGCCACCACACCTGACTAATTATTGTATTCCTTAGTGAAGATGGGGTTTTACCATGTTGGCCAGGCTGGTCTCAATGTCCTGACCTCGGGTGATCTGCCTGCCTTGGCCTCCCAAAGTGCTGGGATTACAGGCATGAGCCACCATGCCCAGGCAAGGGCCAGAACCTTGAAGCCACTTGCTAGGGTGTTTGTAGAAATTGTCTAAAGTGCTATCTATGCATGTGTGCCTAGGTGCATTCATCCACCCACTCATAAAAATATTTGTAAACGCTTGCCACGTTTTAAGATGTGTTTGCGGGAGTTTGTGCTGCTCATTTTTTAAAGAGTGGGAACTCTTTGGTAGTTACAATATGAAAAGGATGGACATCCACTCTGAGTAGTTCTGGATCATTTGTGGAGTTCTTTTTTCAAATATGTCTAAGTAAAACACACCATGTCAAAATGCCAGGCTGAGCTGCACACTTGCAGTGAGACAGGATAGAAGACCGAAGATTCCACCAGGTCAGGACACATCTTGGTTGCCTTTGCAGAGGTTCTCTTAGCACCGCTAGATCTCTGCATGACCTAGTTGGAAAAGTCCTCCTCTAGACTATGACAAAGTTAAAAAAAAAAAAAAAGTGATTCCCTAGGCTTTCCTATCATAAAAATTGAGAGGCAAACGTTTTTCTTTTAAATGAGTTTTCTGTTTTAGCAAATAAAAGTCATTATTTATAGCTTAGTTAAATGTTTTAAATCGCCAAACCTCTGTACCTCTTTTCTATAGAGATCAGTTCATGGAGGGAGTTAGGAAAAAACATCAGTTAATGATAATGATATAGTGGACTCTCAGGAGATGGGAAACTTATTTTGAATACCCACTGCTAGGTAGAAGTTTGACCTTTGCAGGTACTTCCAGACATACTACAAAAAGGGTGGTAGTGTATGCCATCAGCTTTGTGGTTTATAAATATTAGTGATATGCTCTGAATGCTTTAATAAAAAAACAAATGAATCAAAGGGGTAGGTCTGTCTTTATTGTTTGGGATTAAAAAAATAATAATCATACATTTGTATATTCTTTTCATACTTTTAAGAAACAAAAAGGCAATACTGCTACATTGTAATTTTATTGTACATTTAAAATGCAGATTTAAAAAATTCAAATTGTGCTTTTTAGTAACTAATAATTTAAGAACTCTTTTTGATCCTCCCCTACTTTTCCAACCTTCTTTTCTTGCCTAATGTTAGGAAAACCAAATTGAAGATGCCTGCATTTTGAACAGGTTGAACTTGTGGCCTTGGCTATAATTGTCACTTCATAATCTATTTTTGATTTTAATCTTATTATTATAACTTTCTTTTTACAGACTGGTGAATTTTCAGCTCGTTTCCTTTTGAAGTTGCCAGTGGATTTCAGCAATATCCCCACATACCTTCTCAAGGTAAAAATATATGATTATCAGTATGAGAATATAAGTGAGCTTTTTAAGTAATTATTTAACTCAATATTTGTATGACTGGTTTGTCAGCATTTTGTTCAGATGATGAATTCTACTAAAAATGTTTCTTACATGAAGTTCCATTGAGCTGTTTTGTTACCTAAAAGCTAAAATAGTAACTGTAAAAGTCATTTAGAAGTGAGTTTTCCATATAAAATAAAATTATTATAGGTGAATTAAATTTTGGGAAAAATCACTTTTATTTAATACGTTGTTGGAATGAAAGACTCTCATATCAATTATCTAATATGCAATATTAGTCACCACTCCATTCTACAAACACCCTGGCAAGTGCCTTCAAGGTTCTGGCCCTTGGTTGGGTGAGGTAGCTCTCACCTGTAATCCCAGCTTTTTGGGAGGCTGCGGTGGGCGGATCACCAGAGGTCAGGAGTTTGAGACCAGCCTGGCCAACGTGGTGAAACCCCGTCTCCACTAAAAAAATACAAAAATTAGCCGGACATGGTGACAGGCGCCTGTAATCCCAGCTACTCAGGAGGCTGAGGCAGGAGAATTGCTTGAACCTGGGCGGCAGAGGTTGCAGTGAGCCAAGATGGAGCCACTGCACTCCAGCCTGGGTGATAGAGTGAGACTCCATCTCAAAAAACAAAAAACAAACAAACAAAAAAGATTTGGCTGGCCTCCCTCTGCACCGTATTTGAACCTGTGGTTCTTTAATTGCAATCTAGTGTAAGAAAAATTTCTACCTTCCTAATTTGATGTTGTTCAGAGAGTTAATGGTATTCATAACTGCCTAGAGAAAAGACAGAATCTTTGTACAAGTTTGCTTGCATGTTGTGCTAATCAATAAATAATAGTAGATGTTAATTCTGATAATGGTTATAAGTATGATTTAGTAGAATATAAACTATAAACCATAGAAAAGGTTAGGGAATTTTTTTTTAATACATTCCATCTTTGTGTTTTTTGGAGACATGGTCTTGCTCCGTCACCCAAGCTGGAGTGCAGTGGTGTGACCATAGCTCCCCCTAAGCTCAAGTGATCCTCCCACCTCAGCCTTCTGAGTAACTGGGACTGCAGGCATGCGCCACTGTGCCAAGCTAATTTTTTATTTTTTGTAGAGAAGGGGTCTCAGTGGTCCCCCAACCTCAGCCTCCCAAAATGTTGGGATTACAGGTGTGAGCCACTGTTCCTGGTCTATACAGTCCATCTAAAGAATAAAATTATTTTCTTTTTCTCTAAGTAAAACGTAAGAGTTTTGTAGTTCATTAAACTTTCAATTTTAGTTTCCAGTTGACTAGTTCTGCATTCTGTTCCCAAGGATTGTAAAGTCCAAGAAAGAATGGAAATCATCAATTTCTATCAGTTTCTCTACAGTCCGGTTGTGGAAAATATATATATATTAGATTTGTGATAACCAAGCATAATTAATTTGATTTTGGCAATTACTGTGCTCTGTTAGACTAGTAAGCAGTCTTCTAAGAAACCCTTGTAGTGTATACTCAGGACCTCCTCCATGTATTCCAGTTAAAACTCTCTTTCAGCTCATTTAGAGCCAAGTTCAACAGCACATGAAAGTACATGATTTATATAATCACCTTAATCCACAATTTACAGTTCCAGTGCTTTTGTTTTAATTTATTGTGCCTTATCAGTTTCAGCAGTCTTCCTGTTTATTTGAAATTGATGTTGCCTCAGCTCATATTCTTGAAGGGTCGGAAAAAAAAAAGTTTATTGGCTCATAATCTCATATTTATCTCTTCAGCATCAAATTATCGTATTTTTGTTTTAAGAATTCTGACTTTATATGCTGTTCTTATTTTCCTTGCCAGTCAGTTAAGAGAAAGATGGAATCTATTTGCCAAAGCTGTAATATTGTTTAACCCCTGCATTACTGTGAAATAATGTCTCTTCTGTAGATAAAATATCTACATTGCAATACTAATGCCTTTCTGGATCTTTAGAGTTCATGCAAAAAGAGTAAAGCAACAACGACCAGAAAGGAGAAACTCTTGTATAACACAAAGCAACAACCGAAAAATCAAAAACAGAAAGCTACCAGCACACTAGAAACAATCCAGAATACTTGTTGAGGGTTTTAAGATGTATTTTCCTAAAGTTGTTGTAACATTTGGCTACGCTCTTCAAAGGAAGTTTGCCTTAGGAGCTGCTTTACATATTATTTGCATTTGGATGCTCCTCATCTAATTACTAGGCCTGTAATTGATAGTCTAACTACAAAAGTAAACTTCCTGAATTCCTAGGGTTAGGATACTCTTCACCAGCATCAATATAGTTTTACCTTATCATTTCAAGCAAATAAAAATGAAGGTAGAACTTGAAAATATTGAGATAGCTTGGAGTTTGACTGCATACCCTGTTGATTTGCTACAGTGAAATTTCATTACACTATGATGAGGCCATCATCCACTCATAAGTTCATATTACCAGGTGTGCCTATTTTACCCACTAATAGAATTATTTTATGTTAAAATGAAAAATCCATTCAAGTGATATGATTTCCCTTAATATTGTATTGTAAATATATGTGGTTCTTACAGGTGATAGAGTAGGGAAAAGAGCATCTGAATGTCCTTGTGTGCTTAGATTATCTGATTCAATATTCAGTGATATGATTTCCCTTAATATTGTATTGTAAATATATATAGTTCTTACAGGGGATAGAGTGAATTTATTCTGAAGATGAAGCCTGATTTCAGAGTCTGAAATAACTTTTGGTTGAGGTAAATCAAAGGGTCAGATGAATCACTAACATAAACACGAAAAATATTCCTGTATTTGTTAGGATTCTTATTTTGCAGTTGGTAGAAATCCAGCGTGAGCTCATGTAGATCAGATGAGAAATTTCATACAAATCCTCTTCTTCTGTGGTCTGTATAGCAGGAAACAGTCCATACTTAGTACTCTACAGATCAGGCATAGACCAACTGTCTTATATCTGTTCCACTGGGCTCAGTTGTATACCCCTAAACTTCTCAACTGCTGTGTTTATGGGGAGAAATCGTGGTCCTAGCATAAAAAGGAGATTACAGAAATGATCAAAGTGCAAGTATTCTCTACAGTTACTGAATCGAAGAAAGATGATTTTATAATTATATACTTTCTCTTAACAAACAGCTAGTCATTAGATGCTGCTGCTCTTAATTTTCTTAGCGTGTGGTGAAAAGTGCTGTATGTGTATTCCTGTCTTTATTTTTGTCCTGAGAATTAGTGAACTTAACAATGTGATGCTAAGAAGGCTGTGTTTTTGTTTTTGCTTCTGTTTTCTGTAAAACCATACTCCATAGAGAAGTAGCTAAAGAAAAGGTTTGAATTGTCTACTAACATTTTTATTCTTTGAACAAGAAGCTCAGAAACTAAGAATACAGTATTTTAGGGGAGAGGAGAGGCTTACTTGTAAATATGATGTGTGTTTGAATTGGTCACTTAAAATAATGAGCCAGTTTTATACAGAAGACAGTGAAGTTAAAATCCTAGAGCTAGGAACCCCTTCAGTACCATCATACAAAAATATGGAGGCAAATTATTGGATCCCACTGAACTGGAGGGTTAAATAGCAACTATTTCCTGCTGATAGTGGATGGGGCAAATATAACCGTGCAAAGAAAATCAACATTAACTTTTTTTTTGTTGGGTGAGAAAAGACCGTACTGTTTATGTAGGCTAAATTGTTGTTGGAGTATCTCTAAACTAGAAATCATTGAGCCCTAGCCCAGGTTAGAAGTAGGGCTGTAACCAATTTACTATGACTGAAGTACTTGGACTTTTATTGGCATTATTTAACATCACACACTGAGCCCATTCATCCTGATGGATTGCACGTAGCAATTTAGTTCCACTGTGGAATCCGAATCTTGACACTACAGGGAAATTAATTGAATGTGAAAAAGCTAAAATAGGTTATTTATACAAGAGATGAAGCTCTCATCCTTCTTCTGAAGTCACTGTGGCTGTAGTGATCAGTCAGGGCACAGTCAGTGCAGAGCCCAGGTCACTCTGCCCAGCAGAGGCAGAAAGCAGGAATTCAGTTCAGGGTGTCTAGATTTGTTCAGAAGCCTAGGATAGGCAGAGAGTTGTGAATATCTAACTATACAATGGTCTAAGCAGATCACTAACATGGAAGAGAGCATCTGAATGTCCTTGTGTGCTGAGGTTATCTGATGTAGGAGCAGCCTCCTCAGCCTGATGCTGGCTAGCAGGTTACCTACTTAGAGTCAGTCTGCTTTCTAATCAAACCTAGTAGCAAACGGAGCCAGGCAAGTACTGAAAAGGGAGTGAATCTGACTAGATACAATACAAAAGGAAATGGTAGGGACTGGAGTGAACTAGCATGTACCTGCTTCATCTAAAGGCAGCAGCTGCTATACGGCTACAGAGTTGTTTTCCATTTGATAATCTGGGGCCTGGTGTTGCCAGATATCCAGATGTTATTAAAAGGAGCCCAGAATCTCAGGGCTTGTTGTTGTTGTTGTTAATATGAAAAACGACTATCTTTTAAGTAAAAGCAATGATAGCTATTGTTTACAAACACTGTGCAAGAACACTTGTATGTCTTGGCCATGGCCTGTGGGTGAATTTGTGACTCTTGCTCTAAAATCTAACCGTCTTGTACCGGTGGGTGGCAGAAGGCTTTTCTTTACTTTCCTGGATGTATACTATGCCGTGTGGTATTCAGGGAGATCTTACTTTGATCCAGTGGATAACAGAAGGAGAACCTTGAACTGGAGTTCCACTCAGTATTCTGAGCAGCTTATCACAGCTGCAGCAGAGTACCTGGAATGAGTCTGGCTTGGTTTTTGAGTGCAGTACTGTGCAGAACACCTAAGTACTGATCTTGCCATAAAATGATACTGGGATTAGACAGACGACAGAAAGGAAAGTCAGGCATAATCATTGTCCTCAGAGACCTTATAATATAATTGATAAGTTAACATTTACTAATAAATAGTGAAGTGTTAACTTGT